TGCGCCGGCTGCTCCAAATCCGAGCACCCAGGAGCCGAGTAGAGCCGATTCTTTCTGCCACGTCCGCCCCCCCGTTTTCTGCTAGGGAGGAGCTTCCCAAGATCTACGCAGCACACGTGTCACGGTGCTTGCAGCACCTTGAGCGCTCCTCGCTCGGCAGTTTGCTCTGTGAGATCCCATGCTTGCCCCGTACTGTGCGAGAAGCTTACACAGACCTAAGGTGATCCAAGCAGTCGCAGATAGCTGCAGCAGTCTGGACATTCCACGGACCTTCGGTACGTAGATTGCCGACGTGTCGCAAGAAGGTTGAGAGGAGGGATGGTGATGCGGCAGAGAGCGGCAGCGGCAGATCGGTGCCCATCCCACGCCGAAGAGCGGACAGGTGGAGAGGAGAAAGGCAGCGCACAGCGCGGAGGCGAAGCTCCAGGCAGATCGCTCGAGGCGGAGAGGAGCCGAGCCGCCCTCGCGGTGCTTGGGGGGCTGTTGCCCTACCCTGGCGCTGCGCTTCGACGAGGAGGCGAAGGTCGCCGTCGCGTCGCCGTCGCGTGGCGGGCGCCCACAGTCCGTGCAGGCTTTTCGTGTGTCGAGTTGTGGCGTCGCTTGCGGCCGGAACAAAAGGGGCCAAAGATCGCGCGCTTCTGTGCAAAGGACAGTCAGAAAGGTTCTTGCCATCTTTTTCCTGTACAGGTTGGGCTGTTTCTCGCCCACATGGGCTGCCCCTGTCTCAGTCTGCCTGTGAACTCCTTCGTGCTCCTGCACGTGATATCGCAACCTTTTCAACAGAGTTGCCCTGTTCGGGATAGCGTCAGTGTGAGGCAACATCCATGAGAGACGGCGGTTGCATAGAGAACGTGGCGAGTCACCGGCTTCTCCGAGTAGCTAACAGTTTTGGGAGGCTCCCTACAGTAGGGAGCCTCCTACGCTCCTCGAGGGGTTCTGCCAATCTTTATCTAAGGACTTTAGGAGGGACCCCTAATAGGGACCCTTAATCCCATTACCTTAAATAGCCATTTATAGTCCTTATATACCCCTTATATCAGCCCTTCCACGAAACTGGGCCCGGGTCGGGGAGCGGCAAGGCTGGGCGTCGGCTCTGATGGGAGCCGTGCTCTGGCTGGCGGTGGACAGGCGCGGGAGCCTCTCCAGCTGAAAGCTCGAGCCCGAAGTGAGTCAGGCCTTCAAAAAACCCTCGCCCTTGCCCCTTATGGTTTCTTGAATTTCCGATGGTCCTACAGGATATCATCGTAGTCAGTCTGAAGGGTAGGCTAGCTAGACCACTAAGCTTCAGAGGCGTCGCAGCGAAATGGCGAAGGAGAGCCCAACAAGACCCCGCTGTCCTGACTGCAGGGGTCTGTATGCCCTCGACTTGGAGGAAGTACCCTGGGCAGCGCGCTCTGGGTGCTGCTTGATGTCTGTGTTTCGCTTCTTCGTCTCGCATGGCTGTTGCATGACTGTCGACCGACAGCATAGCCCAACATCTGCCGAGTGGTCAAACCAGCCCTTGATCTCCGAAAGCAACTCTTGTGATGGGAATCTGCCAAACTCTGGTGTCTGAGTGGGGTCTGAATGCCGTGGCCCCGCCAAATAAAAGTAGCACAGCAGGACTCGTCAGTCCTCATTAGGCCAGCATCTGGACGGTTTGAGGTCATGGTGGTCATGACCGCCCTTAGCTCCGCAGCCTGCATCTCGGACTCCTGAACAACTCATGTGCCCAAGCTCTGCCAGCTTCGTGCGCGTCATGACCCGTACTCCGATCTTGCCTCTTGGCGCCGCCGCCCGAGCTCTTCAACTTCCTGATCAAGTTCGGCCTCTCACGGGAGACGCCGGTGACCACAAGCCTTGGAACGCAAATAGGCCCCAGTTGCTTCGTGGGCAGAGACCTAAGTCGCTTCAAGGAATGCATTGCTTTCAGGCATTCCTTTGAACTTCTTGCTGGACTTGTTTGTGGTGCACAGCCACTTTCGATGGCCTCAGGTAGGAAGTCTCCGCAAAATCCCGTTCAGCAATAACACGGTCTCTTCCGTGCCAGGCCGTGGGTGTCCTGACGATGTTGCTCAGCTTCAGCGTCTGGCACCACTCCGAGGACCGGGGGAGACGGCACACACTCTCTACTAAACATATTATAGGGGAAGAAATATTTTTCCCGATAGTATGTTTAGTTCTGCCCTTCTCTGCGCTTCGCCTTCGCCCCTGTGCAGGCTCGAGGCCAAGCCGAGGCCCGGATCGGAGGCACCGCGGGTCCGGCCTCTTTTTAGGGACGCTTGGATGTCGGAGGTCGCGCGTGCCGTCCCTGCAGGAGACGCCTCCGAGAGGCCGATGCGAGCTCGGGACAGGAAGCTAGGCCTTCAGGTCACGGTGGTGTGGGTTTCTCCGTTCCGTTGGAAAACATCCGCCTGCAAGAGAGCGGAGATGCTTGCATGTGGCAGACCGCTGTCAGGCTGTTGGGTTAGATGATGGCGGCGCCAATGACGTGCTGTCGATGGCTGCAGCTTCTCTCTTCGGTTGCCCGGTCATAAGCGGTCCCAGCTCCATCCTTGTCAGAAGGCATGCAGCTGCGTTAACCGCTACGTAGTAATTAGTTGAAGCTGACCACATTCATGCAGAAGCGCTTCTGTAGAAAAGGCAACTGATGGCAGAGTGGCACGGATAGACTTGGGTATGCAGGATTTCTGAGGCTGGTTCTTCACGGTGCTAGATATGAGATACACAATCATGTGTTGCGATGGCCGCGGATATTCTGCTGGTTGGCTCACAAGGCTGTTGAACAGCCGCTGGACGGAATATGTCGGACATGGGGTTTGAGGAGTCCTGTTTAAGAGTCTTACTGTTGAGCCATGAGTCTGAACACCAAATCAGTAGCAAGACTTGATGGTTGCTGCAAGCACCGCACAAAGAGATTTCTCCAAGAGACGTAAGTGTACATGCAATGGACAGAGTGCTTCTTGACTAGAGTAGCCGTGAAACTCCGCGCAATGGCCGAAGCAAGTGGAGAGAATGACGTCGAGGCTGGTAGAGTGATTTGTGTTTGGTTCACCAGATCGCTTTCTGGCACCACTCTGTCCGTGCAGCAGCGCGTTGTGGCACCATTGTGTCACAAGAGTGAGCAGCTTCACTGCACACTCTTGACTACGTTGTCGGAGGCGGAAGATCCCTTGACAAGGCCAGGCTCTTTGATGAAGATCGTTTGGAGTACAGGTTACAGCCGTAGGGGATGTGGACCTCCAGTTCGAACGAATCGACTGAGCACGCGCATAGAATCCATACCAAAAGGCGAGGACGGCGCAGGCTAGAGAAAGTACTTCTGGAGCCTTGTGGAGGTGTCTCAACAACTTGCATCGCTGCTGGTTCGAGCTTGGCAGTCAAGTCGAGGCCTGCACTCTGCATCTTGGAGCCTGTAAGAAAGACTTATAGACTCGCAGGCAGGGTTCAGTGTTCTGCTGCGTCGGTGCAAAGGTCAGTCCGGTACTAACCGGATCATGTCTCGTGCTAGGACGAATGGCATGCCAACAGGGACGATAGACATGGCCATAGTCGGGATGGTCATGACAGGGACAGAACCCGGCTAGGATTCATAGTGCTTGTCGTAGGCACAGTAGTCAGAATGAGTTGCACACACAAACACAATCTTCGTCTTGATCAATGCAGCGGCAGTGAGAGGAAGAGTTGACATATAGTAATCGGACCAGTGAGAGGTGCAGTTTCAGCAGTTGCGGCAGTGACCTTAGTCATAGCAGCAACACCGGGGCAACGCTAAGCATGCCAGCAATAGACATGACACAGACGCAGCGAGAGTAGTACTGATATCCAGCACCATGACAAAAAGGCGGAGCTTTTCTACCAAGGGAAGATGACACAAATGTAAGAGCTGTAAGAGTAGCAGCAAAAGCACATTGGCAAACGCATGAACGACGCATGCCCTGACAAACATAGCTTAATGTATTCAATATACATATATATATATATATATCCACATTAACGGATACTGCTCAGTCAGCAGTGATAATCGTTTTGGGCTTAAGATTTGGGGCTTTCAAGTTTAAGAGTTTGGGTTGGGTTTAGCGTCGTCTTGGGGACTTTGGGCTTTGGAGGCTTGGGATGTTCGGCATTCCGCTGAAGGCCTTCATATCTACCCACAGGCCCCATAGTAGTTCCTTGTTGGAGTTCATATCTAGAATCCTATAGGATAATCCCAAAAGGGAACTACTATGGGGCCTATGGGTAGGGAGTAGAAGAGTGCAAAGGTGTAGGGCCGAACGGGGTTCGCAGGTGGTGCTGGAACGGGGGCTTCTTGTCATGCGCGTTCAGGGCTTCGGGATTCGAGGGTTTTTGTCCCTCAGCCCCGAAAAACCGTGCATTGCGCCAGGCCCTGCGGTCGGAGAATCGTATGCTGAAGGCTCGCTCCTAAGCCAGAAGCCTTCGGCTTCGGGTTTCGGCTTCGGCAGGGAAGAAGAGAAGCAGAAATCTGCAGAGGGATGTCCCCCAAGTGGGCATTTTAGAACGAAACCTAGTAAGAGAGGGGTAGTTGGGCCCAGTCCAAGTGCCTTTCGCGTTGGCTTTGTCTTTGGTCTTCGAACGTGTTTTTTGCGTTTTGCCTTTCTCAAGCTGCGGCTTGTGCTTGCAAAGATCGGCTCTTCGGATGCCGTAGAACTACAGCATCGGTCTTCGACCAGAAACGTTCTTCGCTTTCCCCTATCCATGGGCTCGATAGATCACTGAGCTTTACCGGCCATGCCGATATCTTCCTTCATCTTAGCAGCATAACACAGGTTTCCTTATCTAGCCGCTGGCCCCTTCCAGATCTCTTTGACCATACGTAGACCTGGTCCGGTTTCACGTAAGGAAGCAACCGGAGAACTGCTTTTACTGACGGCTGTGCTGACAGGCCCAGGTTTCCGAGCTGCAGCCAAGCCGAACCTCGGCCTCGAAGGGGTGCTTTCTGGGACCATGCAAAGAGTAAGCGAGCAATCCAGAACTGCTGGCAGCAGGGGTGGAAAGAGTAGCTACCGAGCCTTCACTACTTGCGTGGTTGCATGTTTTGATGTGCTTTCTGGGTTTTGGACCGGGTGGGTGCGGGCTTTGCCGCTGCGGGTGCAGGGTATTGCAGGCTTCTCAGCAGTGCATGTCTTCGCGCCTCTGCCAGGAGACTGTTCGAAGGACTTCGATAACAGCCGGAGGCCGGGCGCAGGGGAAAGGGGATGCACCCAAAGAAAGGCGCGGAGCCACTGCAAACTCTGCAACTGCTCTGTTCCAGGCCTGACAGCAGGAGCATGTCTGAAGAGCAAGCGCCGGGTGCCAAGTGCGCTAGAAATGCCGAAGTCTGGGCTTTGCTTGAGAATTTTGCACAAGGCCGATGCTGCCACAGATGCTGCCTGGAGCCTTCCCCGACGATGCCAAATCTGGGGTATTTAGTGAAGTGGAGGACAGGGATTTTGAAACTTTGCGGCTTCCGATTGCTCTCAACTTCGCAGGACTCAAGCGGAATCTTGACGCTGGACACACTAGCTCCGAGCCCGAAGCCAAAGCGCAAAGCCCAGGCACAGCGCGCAGCAGTTGCGTTGCTCTTGCGAATGCTGTTGGGGGTTTCCGAAAATAGGGGACCCTAATATAGTACCCCAAATAAACGGATCCTTATTATAAGGACCCCAAAATAAGGTACCCCTAATTTTCGGAAACTCCCTGTTGAGAAGTCCCCCCAAAAAAAGATTCCGCTTTTGACGGAAGGCGAGAAACAAAGAAGGCCTTCGAGCTCGAACCTTTGGGCTGCTTGGCGCCGCCCAGTTTTTTGGGTTTAGGGTTTAGGGTTTAGGGTTTAGGGTAGGTCCCGGGGTCCCCCTCAGAAAGAGCCTGCGTTACGAGTGCTACTAGTGTTCGGTCGTATCATCGCTTTAGCGGCATCTCCCGAGAGATTATGAGAATATGTAATACAATATAATATCATAATATACTTTAATAGAATGATTCTTTTCGTGGAGCCGTGCTGTATCGTCAACCTCAGGCTGAAGGAGTCTGTAAACGTCTCCCTCTCTGCAGCCCGGCTCGGCATGCTCACGCAGCGGGAGATTCTCATGGAGGAATTGGAATCCCAGGCAGTGCCGAGTGCATCGGGGCAAGTTCCGGGGAGTGCATAAACATGTGTGCGAGACTTGGTGCCCCCGCTCTCAATCCTATCGGAAGCCTGCAAAAGGCCAGCATGCGCCGGATGATGTCCGCTTTCGTACCCGCCGGCGACTTCGAGTGGCGCAAGCCGAACTTTCTCCAATCCATCTCCAGGCCACCTTTTTGGTTCATGCGGCGGCCTCGGCAAGTAATTCACATGATCTTGGCACCACCTGAGGCACATTCTCTTCAAGCTTCTAGTGATGATTGCCACCTGGCCGCACTTCCTTGTAGGCCTTCCGCAGTTCCGGGCAGCTCCCCTTCATCTCAGGCCATCTTGGCAAACTCTGCTTACCTGGGCTTCGACGCCGATTTGCAGGCCCCCTTTGGGCAGTGGCTAAGAGGCCTCCGAAAAAAGTTCCCTCCCTGTGACCTGGGAGCCGCTGGCCAGGTGCGGAACAGCTTTCGGAGTATCCAAGACCAGGACGCGAGAAGTCGCGCTCGCTCTCGCTCTGGCTCTCTTGCTGCTTTCTGCTAGCGGCTTCCCGGTGTTGCTTCCCTCTGTCCAGAGGCGTGTTTGAGTTGCCTCTGCCTCTGCATGCACGTGGATGGTCTGCAAGATCATGCAAACCCCAACTTTTCCGGGTGCTGAAAGTTAGAGTGGGAGCGAGTGTGGAAGGAGAGCCCAGCTCAGACCGTTGAAGCCACAGGCGATAGTCCTTGGTCGGTGTATTGCGAGGATGCTGTGCCCCACCTGCCGGCCGCGGACATCGTGTTTCCAGCCCCTCAGCTGGGAGAAAATCGAACGGGGATGAGCCTCCTACGGCTGCAAAGACAGCCCGAGACTCCGACACGCCATGACATTCCGAAGGTCATCTTCGTTGTGGAACTCGTGATTCGACTGGGCGCCGAGCGCCGCGGATTCTTTGAGGGCGAAGAGAAGTGGTGGAGCCTCGGCTACCGGCAAATCCTTGCATCATGCTGACGTCCGAGCCTTGTATGTGTTTAGTAGAGTCATAGGCTTTTGGTGCCTAAGGAATGTTTTCGACATCGCCTGGCCCCGAGCCTCCGACATGTGCAGCCTCTCTCCGCAGCGGGTAGTTGTGATCGACGGCTTAGGTCTTGGTTTTGAATTCTGGTCTGGAGACATTCACAACACTGGCGAACTTCAGCTTCTTGCGCATCCTTCGAGTTTTCAGAGCCCTGGTCAGCACAGTTTCTTTTGCCTTTACTGGCGGACCCTTCTTGTGGGGCCTCTGTGCGCGTGGCCCTCGCTCTGAGGATTAGTGCGACTGGTGCGGGTGGTGCGAAACGTGAAGAGCCTCGTTCGATATTTGGGGAGGTCCCGAGTGCTTTTTATTGCACCCTGCTGCGGCCCAGGAGCCTGAAGTCTCTGCGGACCATGATCTTCGCTTTGATCAACTCCTTTACCTCCTTGCTTTGGGCTCTGGTGGCTTGCCTGCAGACGACGGTAAGGCCATGTGTTCGGCGCCAAAACCACATCGTGCCTGCAGATCGTGATCTGCCTGATCATCTTCATTTTTAGCATCCTCTTCTGCAACGGAGCCAGCCTCTTACCGGCCGACTGATGGGGCTCGCATCCGGAGCAGCTCTCCTGTCGTCAGGTCGCTGCGCACAACAATACCATCTTCAGGAACCTGCAGAATGTTTCAGCCTGGGAAGACAATGAGATGGTGCAAGAGGCCCTCGAAGAAGCCCGTGACTAGCTGCCTGGCTCTTTCTGAGCCTAGAGAGTCTCTAGGCCTTGCTGGGGGAGAAGCACTTCGGCGGGCTTTGGAACACCTGCGTCAGCCTTTTCAGCCTGGGGCCCGGCCCGGCCCGGCGATGATTTCGAAGGTCTCCGAAGTTCTTTCGCTGTCGAAGGTGCTGTCACCGGTGGGAATGACTGGATGATGTACGGCGAGTTGCTGAGGCACCTGAGCTGAGATCTTGCTCTCGGATGGACACGGAACTTCAATGTCAGGAACCTCAAGAACGGTGAACACGACATCACCGGAGAGTTGTACTTCCTGATCTTTGGGTTCTATGCTGCCTGCCTCGGCCAGGAGTTGGGTGCGAAGTTAGTGCCAACAGTCATGGTGTGCCGGTTGAAAAGATCCCGAGGTTGCTTTCTGCATGATCGGCCTTCTGAATGCGGCTGCCTCAGAAGCTTTAGACTTCCATTGCCAGAGCTGTTTCTCAAAAAAGCCTGTGAGGTTGTCACCGGTATCTTTGTGGACAGTGCGGTCTCCACGCGAACCGAAGACGAGGTCGTTGATGCGTTCACGGTCCCTGGCCTTGTATTCTTCGATTGGATTTAAGAGATGAAGCAGCCCAGGTCATTAAACGTACACATCTAGGGCAGAACCCCCCGAAAGCCTCTTCTAGTCCAAGAAGAGTCAAACCGGCATCTACCGAGGATCAAATGGCTGCACGGTGCCGCGAGGTCAGGCGTATCTTCAATGAGGCCTTGTCAGATGCATTGCAACAGACGCTGACGCCGTGGCTATGGGAAGAGCATCCAGCCCACAGTCCTGACGAGGCAGACATCGAAGGCAAGGGCGCTCTCACCTACGAGCAGCTGAAGGACATGCGACTCCATGTGCGCAGTTGTTGCAGCCTCGTGCTTCTGTTGCCATCCAGGACCAGCTGAGCAACCCCTGGGTGAAGGCTCAGACCCTGAGATCGGCTTGAAGCGTGGCTGCAGTTTAGGTTGGTTTGGTGTCCGCATGAAGCTCTGCACAGGCCTATTTCCATGGACTCGACATCGATCCAAACGAGGCCAAAAAGGGACCCGGTGACTGAAGAAGTAGAGAGAACAGCTGGCAATGCGGCCATTTTGATCTAAAGCAAGTGGCCCGCCACGGTCCCAAAGTCATATCCTGTGAGGCTGCGATCATCTTCACGCTGATGGCGCTGACCTCGGAAGTTTGCTTTAGGGGTGTGCAACAGCTTTATATACTCGTGAGAGTGAGTGAGTGAGCAAGTGAGTGAGTGAGTGAGTATTTAAGCAAGCAAGTAATCAAATAAATATGTATGTTCGATCGTACGAGTGTATGTAGCTGTGCCTCAATCAATCAACCTATATATTTATCTATCTGTGTATGCATGCATGCATGCATGCCTGTATGTATGTATGTATGTATGTATGTATGTATGTATGTATGTATGTATGTAGGTATGTATGTATGTATGTATGTATGTATGTATGTATGTATACGTGTATGTAGAATGTACGTATGCAGTCTTCGGGTGGATGGATGCTCTGCCTGCCTGGCTGTCTGCAATGCCTGTCTGTCTGTCTGTCTGTCTGCCTGCCTGCCTGCCTGCCTGCCTGTCTGTCTGTCTGTCTGTCTGTCTGTCTGTCTGTATGTATGCGTGTACATATACCACATATATATCTGTATGTACGTATGTATGAGTGTGTGGGCATCTGTGTATGTATGTATGTATTTATGTGACAGTATGCAACATTGTGTAACTGTATGTACGTACGTATGTATGTATGTCTGTATGTATGTATATGATGTGAACAGACCTTCATGGGTAGAGTTTGCGTGAGTGTAACCGGTCTAGTTTCTTGCATATGTACTCGGATGCATGCGGCATGTGCTCAAGTGTTTGTACGTTTTCTATACGTATGTGTGCGCCACACATGTAGGCAGGCATGCACGCTTCACGTGTTGCCCGTGTGCACCAACCTGCGTACCTCTGAACCATTATGAGAAAGTGTGTGCGCGAGCGAGTGAGTGAGTGACTGCCAGACTGACAGACTGACAGACTGAATGAATGAATGAATGCATGGCTGAAGTGAACCATTGAATATAGTGAATGAACGCGTGAGTGAATGAATGAACGAATGAACGTATGTCCTGATTGATGAAAAAAGACAAGGAACGCATATCATGAGTGAACTACAGAAAAGCCTGAATGATCGAACCACCAAACGGACGACTGAACGAAGAAATGAGTGAGTGAGTGAATGAATACATGAATGGTTGAAGGAGTGCATGAATGCTTGCATGCATGCATGCCTATTGATGATTGAATGCATGAGTGAATGAATCGCTGGTTGAATGTTCGAGCAGTGAACGAACGAACGAATGAGCAACTGAACGAACAAGATACATTATGAGTATACATGCATGTCTACATGTGCAGGTCTTGTATACACATGTACATCTCTACAGATATGTGCACACACACACATCGGACAGAATGGTAAATAGAATTGATAAATAGATAGATGGATAGACTGATAGATCGAGTGATGACTTGATGGATATTCCGATAGGCTGATCGACTGATAGGTAGGTAGGTAGATAGATAAATAGACAGCTGATACATGTAGGCACAATGTGTAGAGGCATGGCTATGTGTGTGTGTGCGCGTACATATGTAGATGTTTACATACATATGTCTTTTTAGCGCAGGCATGTCCAGGATCTTGCTACGTATGAGGTAGGTGCATGAATACTGAGGCACCAAGTGTTTTGATCTGTCGAATCTAAAACATGTGCATGACACCCAGGATACCGACCACAATGGAACTGCATCTTGGCCACAGGGCTTTCGGACCTGAGAAAGACTTTGCAGACTCTTCACTTGTGTAGCCAGGATCGCTGAGGCAAGTTTTGAAAGACAGGCCACCAACGCAGGATGCGAAGTGTGCTATACAACGTCATATATATATATATATGGGCTAAGGTAACCGCAGACGAGTTCATTGACGGCACCATGAAACTCAAAGGCTCAGCCAAGAGCAGCTGGGCTTCACATGTGCAGACACGGCTTTAGATTCTTCAGAACGATGCGATGGGTTCACAAGCAACCCTAAACCCTAAACCCTAAACCCTAAACCCTAATGACCAGTGGCCAAAACAAACCCGGTAGCAATTCGGCCAAGTGCTCAGTTTTCCCGTCTCGAGGTGTGGATATGCTGCTGCTCATGCCACGTTGCTGCACGGATCGGAGCAGTGTGGAGCAGCTTGTGTTTGCCATAGACCAAGTGGACTCTTACAGAGCCTTGCATCTCAGGTTCGACCAGGTCCGGTCTCTTGCCCGCAGCCGGGGTGTTAACGGTTTTGGAACAGTGATGGGAGGGGGGGCTGCGGGGTATCTCTACCTGCGCAATTGTACTTATGCCAGAGAGCGCTCTTCACGCCTGGCTGCACGAGTTCGTGCATATGCATGTATGCACATTTTTTCTACAGGCGAAACATCAGGTCTTTGACGAAATCCCTCGAGGTTTACCACCAAGTTCAACTTCCTGTGCTCCTTCATCGAGGCATCTTACGAGCCAGAGGGATGCGTTGCAACACAGCCATGCCATGCACGCCTCAGAAAAGCTGCTTCAGAACCAGATCTGCTGTCGGGCGCTCGTGCAGGATGAGCTTCGAAACATCAAGTCAGTCCTGACCCCAGGCATTGGAAGCGCCTGTGCAGTTTCCGTTGTCCGACTGTTCTTCTCTTACCAGAGCGATGCATAGCCTGGAGATGCCTGAAGAGGGACATTCCGCTTAGACTCGCTTAGATGTAGAAGCAGACGACGAAGCTTCATACATCCAGATTCAACGGCGAAAGGCTTGGTGGTTGAGCAGGTGGTGAGAGAAAGCTCCCGGCAAAAATCTTCAAAGCTCCGGAAGGTAGCGCTTGCTTCACAGCAGCTTGGCTGCAGCATTACTTTTTTTTCATCAGGAAAGGGGGGGGGGTGCATTGTCACCTTCATGAGTTGACATGGTGGGTGTCCCCTGATTCCTTGCGGCCAGTCGGGAGGAACATTGTGCCGGAAAGGCTTGGTTGGTCCACCCAACATGCATGCTGTGCGAGTGGGCTTTGACGAAGCCTAAACCCTAACTCTCCCAAACCCCCGACGAGCCGCATGGGCTTAGGCCTCCAAGTCGAACATGGAGTTTATGGAGTTGCTGGATCCCGAAGAAGAGGCGAAGAGGTGACGGGGAGATTTAAGAGAGGCCTGAGACCTTCCGGTGGGTTTGGATACAGGGGCCTTGTGATCGCAGCATCTTACCAAGAACGCGAAGGTCGGGGCAAATACCGATTTTACAACGCTTTCGCCAGCCCTGCGCAGTCTCCAAACGGAGAAGCGACCACGGCGGCTTGTTGAGATCTCACGACTCTGCCGAATGGCAGGGCTTCAGCAGCTACAGCAGACCCTGGCGGCCCCTAGCGGTCCCCAATTACCCCCTAACTCTTGTCCTTCAGCATCACAATCGTCGCATCCTGTGCTCCGTAGAGTGGGAACTTAGATTGTAAACCTTCCGTTCGGATTACGCAACGACAAGTTTCCAACCTCGGCATCGAAGTCTCGGTCCGCTGAGCTTGCATGTCAGTGCGCTTTTCCCAGCCGAAAACTTGGACGCGAGTGCTCTGGAATGCCTGCACAGATGCCTCAGAGAGCAGGATGCAACAAGCTCCCTATAAGTTTAAGCTTTCTGGAATCTATTGGCCGGCTGCTTGTGCTTCCAGCTTTGCTTGCAGAGAGGCTCATGAAAGTCCGAAAGCAGATCCGAATCCAACAGTGGCACCCGAAGACAACCACAGACCTATCCGACAGCCAGACCGGGGAGCTTGCCAGAAATTATCATGGTGGGCCTGCTGTCATTTGGGGCACGGTCCTGTTGACGCTGGTCGCAGCAGTGACCCAGGCACGGAGTTGCCCTGTAGTCAGAGCCATATGATCCATGCTTTGTAGGGGTTGCCTCCGGCTGTCTCGTGATGAGGGCTCTTCGCTGCTGATACCACCATGCGGTTGACAGACGTCTTTGCCTTGAGCCCAAGGTCTCGATAGATTGGGTACTTGTAGCATCTGCATGCATCTGCTAGAAGGGGTGACGTTCACGGCTGCGCATCATGCCGGCCTCCCACTTCTGGGACCTGCTCAGCCGTGTAATGAATCTCGGCGACCACAGCCTGAAACTGCTCTTAGGTTTGGCTGCTGTGCGCCGTGCCTGTGATGGCATCCAAAGATGATGAGGCAAGCCGCAGATCCCCACTACCGAATTACGTGTGGGCAACATGCAAGGCAACATGCAGGCAGTATCACAGGCGTGAAGTTCTTCCTCCTTCCAGGTGACAACTGGTGTCAACTTGGGTATTGCAGTGCCTCGGCCGCACCTCAATAGGCAACCATCAGTGCGTATCGGCGTATCAGTGCCGATGCAGCCATGTGCAGGTGTGGAGAATCTTAGTATAGGTGTGGAACTGCTGATTGGGCCTCTTGGGTCCGACAGCACCCTTGAATGAAAATTGTTTGAAGCAGATCGACATGATGGGGTCTGGCTACGGATCCTGCGCCGCACTGAGATCATGCTGCTGGGGAGCATCGGCTTCATGATGGGCATCTTTTACCTAGTCCGCGGCCCAGTGAGACGGAGGGAATGACGTGGAGCCACGTGCAGGGGCGTGACATTGTAAGATCGAAGTAGTCTCCAAGTCTTCTTCCACAAGACGGTTGCAGTCTACTTGTCGATGTGCTGTATTGTTGGACCACGCTTTGTCGCAGGTTAACCATGAGGACAAAGAGATGCAGATCTGTACTTGGAAGGCGCTTCGCTCACTTTCTGGCCGTCTGTGAAGGAAGACACTTGCTGCGTAGGACGGTGCTTGGGTGAAGGGTGACGGAGTAGTGCAAAGCATGATGGAAGTCTGCTCAAACTCGTCTCAAACCCCATAAATGCGAGTCCAACTTGGCTTCCACCCTAAACCCTAAACCCTAAACCCTAAACCCTAAACCCTGAACCCTAAACCCTAAACCCTAAACCCTAAACCCTAAACCCTAAACCCTAAACCCTAAACCGGAGCAGCACTCTTGGCCCTCGAGTCTGTTGTGTGTGTTGTTGCCTGGTAACGCCCGGAGCTGGGCCTCTGTGGATGTCTCGGAAAGGCCCTTTGCCTTCCGCGAACTTCTGAGAAGCCTTCTTCCATACTCTAAGACTCGATTGAGAAAATGCAATGCGAGGAAGAGAATGTTCAAGTCAAAGCATGCCGACTGACTAGCTAGACTTTCTGTGTCAAGAGTCGCATCTCCATCACCTTCATGGGCTGTCAGGTAATCTGTGCCACAATTTCAATTTTCGTGTCCGTTCTGATCTACCAGGCACGCCCTTTCTTGATGGCATTGATGTCTTTTCGCGGTTCTTGCACCTACATGCACACGGAGCAGCACTTCAAGTCTACAGGGATGTCGGCTCAATCGCAACAGGCCGTTGCAACATTGCTTGTCTGAGATTTGCAGCAACAAGAGTTGGCATGTTTTCGAGCACGCCATCCATCGGCTAAGTATTTTGCAAGTCCCCTTTTGATGACCACCGCCGCCGCCACCAGTACCGCGACCAGTGCCACCATCGTTGCCGCCACTACCACCCTCGACGCTACCACCACCGTCACCTTCTCTCATATGGGGGTTTCGAAAATAGGGGACCCTAATATAGTACCCTAAATAATAGGATCCCTATTATAAGGACCCCAAAATAAGGTACCCCTAACTTTCTGAAACTCCCATATTCTTAGCTCCAGCTCATAGGAGTGGTCACGGGCGGGCCAGAGCGCAGCTGGAAGGCGGTCAATGACGCCGTCAAGGCGATGTTTCTCCAAGACTCCTCACCCATCGCGGCGATTGAGGCCGTAGAGGGCACTGTGCTTGAACCGCATGTGATTGAGATTCATGCCTAGTGATGGAGACACGGGTTTCTCAATCTCATGTGAATCATTGAAAATCGCAAGGGGCGACGAAGACGTTCCAGCTTGCTCGTATGTGAGGGTTGTTCTAAAGGTCC